ATGAGTGTACTTTGATCGACTTTTGATTATGACATTAGCCTCTGGAAAGCATTTACTACATGCAACATGTTCATCAATTTATGTCATCACCGTTAACCCACCTAGAAAGCGGGGAACCCAGTCCTGGGAGGTGCGTCTGCTGGGGGCGGGGCGCCTGGCAGGTCAGCCGGCGACCGCCTTGGTCCCCCCGCCCCCGGCCTGTCATGGACCCGTGCGCTCCCCAACGCGAACGTGGTGGCCGGGTCACCTGCCTCGCGGCGCCGGCCCCTTCCAGGCGGGTCGCCTGGGTCTTGAAGGAGGAAGCCTGGGCCTGCACATCGTAGCTGCTGTTGGGTTATTTCTGCCGTTTGCGCTGAGAAGTCGAGAGGCGCTCAAGCTGAGCGAGCTCATCTGCGACCCGGGATGAGGCCCAGGCGACCACGGGGACAGCGGGTGCCGCCTTCTGCCCAGACGGTGACCGGACCGCAGGCAATTTGGGGACAGGATGGAGGAGGCACGTGGACTTACACACATACTGCCCGCGGCTTCCTCTGAGCTCTAATCGCCCGGCCCCCTGTTCCTCCCAGGCCGCTCCCCCCCGCCACCCCCGCGCCTGGGGCTCCCGCTGCCACTTAACCTGCGCTGTTCTGGGAGGAGGTCCTAACCCTCGGCTTCTCACTCCGAGGGCGCCTTCCCGCAACAGGGAAGCGCAGGCCCGCGATGGGGCAGCGACCACCGACCGGTTCCCCGCCTCTGGCCCCTCGCCCACCCGCACCGGTGGGATCCTGAGTGGAGCCGGCCGCTCCCCGGACATTCGCATCTCATGAAACTACTGTCTTTCCGATTCCCTCCCCGCAAATGGCCAGGACCCCCCCCAAACCCCGAATTACCTTCTGGAGGGCGGGCCCTTGTAGTCCAGGCTCCCCCGCCTGGTGAGTGTCCTGGGACCCCATCTGCGCCAGGGTACCCGCTGGCGTTGAGGTGAGAGGCTGCGTTTGGCTTCCGTGAGTTTTTCTTGAAGGCTCAAGTGCCTGCCCGTTTCATGAGGGGAGATTTACGAGCGCACCCGCCCCCAGCGCGCTGAGCGCTCAGCAGTTTTTGACCGAAATCAGCACGACCCCCGTGCCCCACGCCCCCTAGTCTCCTGATCTCACCCGGAGAGACACTTTTCCCCCCCAGATTTAAAAAGTCCTCAAAGGGGAACGTTTTGCCCATGTGGAGGAGGTGAAACAAAAAAAGGTAGAAGCACTAAAAGGCATCCATAGCAACAAGTTCGAACGCTGTCCCGGGCAGTGGGAAGCGTCTGGATGGGGTGATGCTTCCCGTGGCGAGGACGTGAGGGGACATGTGAGAATAAGGACACCATGTTTTAAAAATAAATTCCATTTTGGGGCCCCTCATACTATACATGTAAGGCAGACTTACCGGCTGCGACAGCTCCACGCAAGCACCCGTCAACGCCCTGGGCCGACCTTGGAGACGCGCAGGGGCGGCTCCCCCGGCCTGCGCCCCTGCCCGCGGCCGCCGCAGCCTCTCCGCCGCCCCCCGCAGCCTCTCCGCCGCCCCAGCCGAGCCGCCGGGGGCGAGGCCCCGTCCGTCCGCAGGCCCGGCTCCGCGGCCTCGGCGCCCGCCCGGCAGCCGTCCCGACCCCGGCCCTGGCCGCGCTCCTCGCCTGCCGGTCGGGCGGGCTCCCGCCCCAGCCCCAGGCCACGGCCCAAAGGCTGCTTCCTCGGCCCGCTTTCCTTCGCTTCTGATTAAACCAATGCCCCATCGGTTCCTACTTCTCTTGTACGCTGCATTTTCTGCGTCTTATCTATTTTTGCCCATAGCAACATCTCGGTTTGTAACGACCTGTTTCCAATCGCTGGTTCACACTCAGGGCTCTTGCTGAGACGTGAGCTGCGGGAAGCCGGGGTGGAGCCCTGGTCAGAGGGAAGGGGCCGGGGGCAGACGCCGGCCCAGGGCCTGGGGTCCTGTCTCATGCTGACGAACCTGGATTTCCCTTGCAGGCGGCTGAGAGCTACGGAAAAAACGTGGGCCAGGTGGTGGCAGGCTCCGAAGGTGACTCAGCACGTCCTTATGGTCCTGGCAGCGCCGGGGCGAGACGGGAGGGGGACCCGGGAGCCGCCAGGAGCACAGAAGTGACAGAAGCGACTCCAGCGTGAGGAAGGCAGAGCGATGCCAGAGCAGGAGCGTGTTTAATAAACGAGAAAGAGCCTTCAGCCGGCTTCCGACCCCAGTGGAGACCCGCTGCGCTGCGTCCACCAGGGGGCGCTCTCGGGGCTCGCACGGGTGGAGCGGGGCGCACAGGCCCGAGGACCAGGGGTCCGCGCATGTCTTGGTCGAGGCCGCCGCTGCCGCCCCGGGGAGCCCGGGGCTGGGGGCCCCTCAGCGTCGCCCCCCGCGTTGGGGACCGCGTCCCTTCTGCAGGCGGCGCCCCTGGCTGGGGGAGGCCCCGGGGAAGGGGCCCGGCCGCGGGGGCGTCCCCGATGGGAGGCAGGAGACAGAGGAGGGGTCCTGGGCTGAAGACAGAAGGGGCTGAGCTTGCGGTCGGACGGGAAGCCGCGCATGAGGCTCCACACGTGTATCAGGCGAGGAGAGGATGCAGGTATGCACGGGCGGGTGGACAGACAGACGGACCAAAGCCCATGGGCGCGAGCACTCTCAGCCAGCGAGACGGAGGCTGAGCAGGCGGGTCGAGCCACGCAGGGCGATGTGACAGAGGCACAGAGGGAGTCACCCCAGCAAAGCTCCCCCTGGGCTTCACAGGCGGGGGCTGGCCCGCCGCCCTCGGCGCAGCCTTGGAAGCACCAGGGAGACTGGTGCTGTGACTGTTCTAACTTTTTAATTTTGAGAGGCTCAGACACAGGACCGGCACTGACGGCTACGGCCTCGGGCCACGGCTGAAACAAGCCTCTCCCAAACTGCTCTTTGCTGCGTCCGACAGGAAACGGAGCTTTACAGGCCTTTAACCAGAAGGGGACCCAGTGTGATCGGACTCTGAAGGGCCCCTCGGGGACAGGCCGGGAGCAGGCGGCACAGAGCCGGGACGGAGCTGACCCGCAGCTCGGAGGCCGGGGCAGGGCGGGAGCCATGGACAGCGGGGGACCAGCGGGCTCCCGCGTGTGCGGGAGGGAGGGCAGAAACGCGGCGGCAGCGGCCCCGCCCTGAGGGGCAGAAGCGAAGCTGCCTCGTCATCTGCCTTCCTCCTCGGAGGGCCCGGCGTTCAGGAGGCCAACGCGCCCGCCCTGCGCGGGTGTGGAGGAAGCCCAGGGGTTCCAGCTGATGGAACATCAAACAGCTGGCAACTCCCAGGACCGGGTGGGGACAGCAGGACCAGCGGAGCAGAGCCCGGGAGACGGGCTGGAAGCAGCAGGTGACAGCCGTGCAGGCGGAGCCCCTCCGTCGCCCAGAGCAGAGGGCCGGGAACGTCCTCCATCCGTGGGGACATGGACCGCGCGGAGCCCCGCTGCCCCCGCGGCCCGTTCCCTGGCGGGGCCGCCGCCGTCGGGCCGGGGTGGTGCGGGGAGAGCAACTCCCGCACCTCCCGCAAAGACGGGCCGGGGGGCCGACCGCCCGCGCCCGGGGCGTGTGCTCTCCCTGTTGCCGAATTCGATGAGTGGGCTCCTTCGGCCTGGGTGGGACCGGATGGCCCAGCCGCCCCTGGCCTGTGGCGGACTGAGGGGGGGGCGGGGGGCTTCCGCCGCCGTAGGCCTCTCAGCAGGAGTGCGCGCGGCGCCCCGCGGGGAAGCGCTGTGCTCTCCCCCGCCCCCAGTGCACTCCTTGCCTTGGGAGAGGAAAGGAAAATGGGGCGTCCGCCTTGCACGGGAGGCGCCGCCCCGTCCCCGCGCGACAGCGGCGAAGGGCGGCCAGGGATGGCGGGGGACGCTTGGGCTTTGCCAGGGTCGGTTACGTTTCACTTGCTTTGAAAACTCCTGGGGGCAGCGTTGCATTCTGGGTCTGGTCCCGTTCCCACGACAAGGTTCGGAGGCACGCGCTTCCTGCGGTTTCTGACTCGGAGCAAACGGAGCAGTCGGCTCCGTGGAGCCCGCGCGCGGAGGTCGGTCCCGCCCAGGCCGCCTCCCCCCGGGCACGGGAGGCAGAGGCTGACTCCCACCCCGAAAACGTGTCTTTTCTCTGAATGGAACGCCTTGCATAGCTTCATCCAAAGGACAATCTTCGTATTGTTCCATAAAAACGAAATACACATTTTGGCTTTGATAAATGTGCTTTATTTCAAGCTGCCACGGAAGAAACCTTTAAGGAAGGTTTTCGGCCTAAACATTATTTCACCAGCGAGAGGGGATGACTTAAAAGATAATATGATAATTAAGCGGTAAATTCAATTAGCAGAAGTGCTTCTCTTTGCTCCTGCGTTCTGGGCCCTGAGAATCAACTGTGAAATCTGAAATTTCTTGCTTCCAACTCCTCCTTTGCAAGGCATCTCTTGTTTTCGCGGAAGTTTTGAAACGAATGCCTGAACATTCCTGCGTATTCAGGAGTCTGTACTGAAACCAGACTTGATAAATGACTAGAAAGAAAAGGCGGCTTAGGAGGAAGGACAGCTCACCCGGGGCCCTGCGCCCGTGGGCCGCCCTGCGGGGCGCTGCCGCGGCTGCGGCTTCGGGCTCGGCCTGCGCCTTCCCACCCTGTGTTCTCGGGGCTTTCCGGCAGGAAGTGCCCAGCCTGTAATTAACGTTGCACAATGGAAGCTCCGCCACTAATTGCAGCTTTGCTGAGACAGTAGCTCCCTGAGAAACACTGAGGTTGAAGGCAGGGTTTCTGGACACACCTCTGGCTCCCTGCTCATGGGCTGGGAACACCTCTCTGAGGAGGAAGCATTCCCCGCAGAGGCAGGCAGACGTGTGGGGACAGCGGCGTTGCCCACAGGCACTTCTGCCCGCAGCGGGATGGGCCGTCACCGTGGAAAACGCCGCCCGCGTCTTCTGTAGACCCGAGGCCCCCTCCGCAGCCAGCGCTCGGGCAGCGTCCAGCGGGGACCCGTCTTCAGCGCCACGGCCATGGTGCTCCACGCCCTGCAGATCGCCGGGCTGGTTCTGGGGTTCGTCGGCATGGCCGGGACCCTGGGCACCACCCTCCTGCCCCAGTGGCGAGTGTCCGCGTTCATCGGCAGCAACATCGTCGTCTTCGAGAGGATCTGGGAAGGGCTGTGGATGAACTGCGTCCGGCAGGCCAAGGCCACGCTGCAGTGCAAGCTCCACGGCTCGCTGCTGGCCCTCCCTCCCGTGCTCGAGGCCGCCCGGGCCCTCATGTGCGTGGCCGTGGCCCTCTCCCTGGCCGCCCTGCTGGTGGGCGTCGGCGGCATGAAGTGTGTGCAGTGCGCCGGCTCCAGCGGGAGGACCAAGGCCTGCCTCCTGGGCACGGCCGGGGTCCTCTTCCTGCTGACGGGCCTCCTCGTCCTGATCCCGGTGAGCTGGACGGCTCACATCGTCATCAGGGATTTCCACAACCCGGCTGTCCACGTGGCTCAGAAGCGGGAGCTGGGGGCGGCCCTGTTTCTGGGCTGGGCCAGCGCCGCCGTCCTCTTCCTCGCGGGGGGTCTGCTCTGCGGCGTCTGCTGTTGCCATAGGAAGAGGCAAAGGCGCCGCGACCCCGTCCCCGGGCTCTGTGCGCCGCGCGCGGAAAAGCGCAGGAACGGGCCCGGGCCCCGCAGGGCCTCCGCCAGCTACGTCTAACGCCCGTGTGCGCCTCCGACCAGGGACTGAGGCCGGCGAGCTGTGTCAAGGGCGGCGGGAACCGTGAGTCTGTCAGGCAGGAGCGCGGGTCTCGTGGCTGCCCTCGCGCTGAGCGGACCGCGCAGCCGGCACCGGGGCGGCCGCGCGTCCCTGTGGCAGGAGCGGGCACGGCTCGCGCGGGGCGCTCTGACAGCGCATATGGAGCGCCTGGGCCCCGCTGGACTCGCGCGCCCCGCTCCCGTGCGCGCGGCCTAGGCTCGGGGAGGTTCGCACGCAGAGCGTCATGATCGACTTTTTTCACCACCAGATAGTCTTTACTAAGAAATCCAAATTACATTGCAATTAATGATGCACAGCAATAAAACATTCTAAAACATGCCTGTTAGCTTTCCTCTGTAGTGTTTCTCCTCCTAGCAACTAGAAGGGTGACTTTTTCTTTTTAAAACAGTTAACCTGGAAAAGTCCTAGGCAGGAAGCCAGGGTTTTAATGGAATTCATCAAAACATGGAAATGCCCAGCCGATGAAAAGATGTGTATTTCTTTAGAAAAGTTAAATGTACCAGGAATTGAACTCTGTGAGGGGAACGGGAGCTGCCATTTATCTTAGGATATTTCAGAAGCTGGGTTTTAGAGTATCTAATTTATACAGTAGACGTTGCTTACAATGGTACATTTAAAAGTAGTCCATTCATGAGAAGCAACACACTTTCGTAGCCTACGATTTCTGCCCCAGGGCAGGAGGACGCGCCCGCCCGGACGAGAGTGGCCGGCAGGTGCCTGTGCGCGCGTGGCTCTCACGGGAGGAGCCGCGGCCCCGACGGGGGAACCGGGGGCTGGCGTGGAAGGCGCGGTTTCTACTCCTTGTTCCCGTCCGCGGTCCCCGAACAGGCCCGCACACGCCGAGCCAGGCGAAGGCTCCAGGTCATGACTCAGGCCGTCAGTCAGGCTGAAATAAGCACCTGCCTTTCATTCTCTGGTAAATGAACAGGTACGGCGACGCGTTTTGTTTTGCTTGAATTGGGTGCAGGGATTGCCCGGTTTCTCGCGTCCCGTGGGCACGGGCCAGGGTCCACGGGCATGGGATCGGGGTGCGGGTGGGCGTGAGGGTGCGAGGCGTTGCTTCCGAGGCGCTCTGATTTGTCGCGAACCAATCGCTGTTTATATATTCCATTTTAACTCGTCACATATTGTCTTCATTTTGCAATGAAATGTACTTAATTTATAGTACATAATGGCAATGCACAGATTAAATGTGTTCACCAAATGTTTAGTGTATGTCCATCCTTATTATAACAAAATAAAACAGTTACCTACTTTCAGTAATGTTGCTTGAACTGTGGGGTCGATTTAAGAATGAATTTCTGTCCTTAAAAGATCATCCAGAAACTCAGAACCTTTTAATCAGAACTAACTTAAGGCTACATGTGAGCAGCAAACCCTGACTCCATTTTACAAACTACCAGCAAGGCTTCCTAATAGAAAACTGACATGCAATGCATCCGTCGTACCTGCAAACTACAAAAAAAAAAATGTAAATATCCCTGAGAAAAACCTGGATTTATTTGATTTTTCCTGAGGCGGTTTCCCTTTTCCGACTTCATTCACAGAGGCCTGCACACTGGGTGTGTTGAAACGGAGTCGTTTACCCTACTCAGGCGGCAGGCACCCGGGCCGCCGAGCGGCACACGCAGCTGCGGGGAAGCGCCGGCCTCACCCAGCTCGCCGGAGGCGGCAACCTGCCTCGTGGGACGGGAGCTGGGCCCGGCCGGCGGGCCCGGGGCGAAGCCCGCGGCGCCGGGCGGAATCACGGAGTCGCTGGAGACAGCACTGGCGCCGAGTGCGGGGCGAAACTTCAGAAATGAAGGAGCCTTTCGCTTGCTCTTTCATTGATCAAGCTGTGCTCATAGAAAAATTATTTCTACCTCCTCCGCCCCGCCCTCCGCTGCAACGTTTTCCCTACTACACCAAAAAAAAAAAAAAAAAGTAATAACTTTTAATGTATCTGAGGACACATTGGGGTTGTCAATGTCACCCACAGACCCAGAGGTGTAAGAACTGCATTGTTATTTACTAAAATTTAACTGAAATTCAGCTTCTTGGGTGCTGGGCACAGGAGCCACAGCTCTGGGCTCTTACGCAGAGATGAGCAGCGTCCGGGGCAGCTGGTTCGCGGTATCAGTGCACGATCATCAGTCCGTGTGGGCTATCGAGAGAATATCTATTGGAAAAGACTGTTGTCACCTCAGCCCCGCCGCCCCCTCCAGCGGAGACGGCAGGCGGGGACCCGGAGGGGCCGGACGCAGAGCGGCGGCAGCAGTGGGGGAGTCGGGGACGCGCCCCCAGAGCCCCAGGCTGAGAGCCTCGCCCCGTCCCCCAGGCCCGGCGCGCGGCTGGGAAGGCGGCAGGGGGAAGGGCCGGCGGGAAACGCCGTGTGGGCGGCGAGCTCTGCGGGCGGAGGCCCTGGACGCCAGGGAGGGGGCGCGTGGGTCCCGGAGCAAAGCAGCCTCGGCATCGCTGGCGGCGACAGTGACAGACCTGAAGGGACCTCCTGCGGACACGTCGTGAGGAGGCGGGCTCTGTGGGGCAGACGGTGATGCCGGGAACAGAGGCAGCAGGACAGAGATGAAACAATGGAACTCAGAAATTCAAAGATGGCTTTGTTTTTTTAGTCTGAAAGGCCTAAATGTTGAGGAGTTTGTTCTTTGTGGGCAACACAAAGAACAAACTGGCTCAGTCAGAACCCGGTTTTTCTCACTTTCAGGATCATAAAATGATTTCTTTGGACAAAGGTAAGACAAAAACAAGCAGAGTTAGGAGGGCCAGACGTCCATGTGTCCCCAAGACGGACCCCGAGGGACGGGGCCCAGAGAAACGGCGGTGCCCGGGTGTGCGCGAGGACCGCAGGGCAGAAACGACCTGCGTCCGGAGCGGCTGGAGCCACGGGTGTCGCAGTTTTCCCTGAGCTGTCACGGTGCCGGGGATGGAAACAGTGCCTCGGGACACTTAGTCGGACGGGCCCGGGCCTCCCGCAGCCAGAGCACCGTGGGGACGCTCCCCGCTGGGCCGGGAGCGGCACAGCCACCAAGGACTCCGCGAGAACAAGCGGCCACACCGCGTGGCGGACAAGGGGGCCGCCGCGGCCTCTCGTCCTCGGGCCCGTCCCCTGCCCCCGCCTTGGGCCGTAGGAGGTGAACCCCTGTGCTCCGGGCAGTGGGCGGGCGGGGTGCAGCCGCGCCAGGTGGGAGCGGCGAGCGGTAGCTCGGTGTGCGGAGAACTAGAAAGTCAGCGCCCGGCGCACGGAGAGCAGCTCTGGGCGTCGTCTTCCCGCGCTGGCCGTTCTCGACACGTCGGGGGCGAAGTGCGGCGGAGAGGCCGGGCCAGTCTAAGTCCGGAGCAATCCCTGTTGTCAATGTTGACGTAGAGAAATAACAGTGACAGATAAATGGTGACAGACGTACAGAGGGCAGAGAGCCACGGGGGTGGCACGTCCAGACAGATGACAGGCGAGGGGCAGCTAGATTGGGCGAAGGCAGGCAGGCAGAGAGAGGTAGACAGACGGCAGAGAGAGAGATGATAGATGGAGAGAGAGGAATAGATGCGTGAAGATAGGTAGGGAGATAGATAGGGAGATAGAGAGACAAATAAAAAGATAGAGGTGACAGACGTTGTCTGCGCCCAGGCACGCGGCCAGATGCATTTGCTTCCAGAGTAAACAAGGCGGATTTCTCCCTAGACTCAGAGTCAGGAAGCCACGGCTTTCAAATCATACTCTTCGGCTGCTCTGTTTTATTATTCTAATTTCTTAACACGGTATGAACCCCTCGTCGCCCTAAAATGACAGCGGAAGCAGCTCCGCCCGCGCCTGCCCCGACAAGGCCCCGCCACAGGCCGGAGGCGCAAGCCGCCCACCGGCAACAGCTCGGTGCAGCTCAGGCCCGCGGGCGAAGGGCTGGGAAGACACGGGCGAGAGGCCGGTCGCGGAACGGACAGGACTGTGGCCCACGCCCGGACTGCCCCCACCGGCGGGGCCGGGGGCCGGGGGGCCGGACAGACCTCGTCTTGCGGCCGGGCTCCCTGGGGGCGAAGACCGCTGTCAGCCGGGCAGGCGCCACCGCCCACCACTCTGAGCCCCAGGCCGGTTCTGAGCTTGGCGTGGGCAGGCACGAACCTGTTGAATAGACTCCGAGAACAGAGCTGGGAGGGACAACGCCAAGGAGGCCTGGAGCCTGGGAGGCCACGGGGACACACGGGGCACAACCAGAAAGCCACGCAAACGGGCGCAGGGCGTGAGAGCGGCCAGAGCGTCGGTCGGGAGGGAGGCCAGAGCTCCCGCGGGGGCAGCGAGGAGCCAAGGCGGTGCCCGGTTTTCCCCAGGAAAGCCGTTCGTAGGGCTCTGGCTTCCGTCGGAGACGAGTCTCCTCAGAAGCCCGGCCGTGGACACCCCGGTACGCACAGCGTGCCTCCCGTCCCCTCCCCGAGCGGACGTGGGGGCCGGAAGGGTCCAGAAGGAAGTGGGGCCCAGACGAGCGGGCTCTGGCCAGGCCCCCGCTGCGCACCGTGGGTGGGTCTGCCCAAGCAGGTCACGCCGCCCTCCCCGCCCCCTCCCCTGCGCCCCCTCCCCCTTCCCCTGCCCTGGGAGGGCCTGGGCGCGAGCTCCCGCTCCTGCCGCATCTTGCTCCCCGCGAACGTCAGCCACAGTGTCCTCACAACAAAGGTGTGCTCAGCCAAAGATCTGTTCCAACAGGCTGGTCGCTTGCTTCAAATCTTTTCTGGTTTAATGAGTTGTCTTAAATTAATTGCCGAACACTTTTATGTTCAGGGTTTCTAGACACGCACCGATTGTACATGCCTGCCTTCGAGTCTGTACACAGCAGCCTCCTAAGAGAGCTCCTGCATCCCTGTTACTTCAGCTTCCGGAAACAGCCATTGGTTCCGTGGGAAAAAGCACAGACCCGCGTTCTGAGTCCACGACCTGCCTCTTCCGTACAAATGGAGCTTGT